ATACGTTACAGAATACATTTTGGGGCATGTATTCTGTATTATGTAATGGAATACATTTTAAAAGTAACCTTCCCAACACTGGCTGTTACTAAGCCAAAGAACCAGTAAGCAGAAGTAAGAATTTATAAGACCAAAGTTGCAGACTTACCCGATTACGTAAGTAATTTCCTGAGGATCGGATGACATGAGGGTTATCAGGATCATTTTCTCGTGCTTTCTCCACCAGATCATCAGCCTCTTCGTATTTCTTATAGGCCGCCAGCTTCACCGCCAGCATGCACTGCAGAGCAGCGTTATTTGGGTTGATCTCCAATGCAAAGCGAAGCTGTTTGATGGCCTCTGATTCCTCATCTTCCTGTAAATTTTCAAAAACCTAGTGCAGATGAGAAATTGGTTAGTCTACAGTTTCTTTCACTTGAATAAAAAGTTAGCCATTGAAATTTCTAAAAATCATATTGACACTGAAGTAACCAAGGCAACTGATGGAGCCCTAGAGTTTACTCTGATCATTTGGTGCAATCTAGAGCAATATCAATATAAGGTAATACACTCTTCATTTTCAATGTTAAGATTAGTGTTAAGATGTTCATTCTATACCAGTACTGTACATAATAAATGGATAATAAACTTTTTTGTGCCTTCTAGGTAAAGCTAAATTACACTGTGACTTACTTTTATTGATAAAGAAAGCAATCTCTGTAAGACTGAATAGTAAATGTTTGATAAATGAAATGAGTTCCAACTACTTAAAAACCTGTTATAAGTTCATACACCTTTATTTTTTGAGTAGTTTGAATAAGTTTGTCTTTTCAAGTTATCAGTACTTGAATATATTGATTAGTTTCTGACATTGCCCTCAAATAATTTGAGTTTTAACACTGACGTCACTTATGTGCCTACGTATGTACCTGCGCCACCTGTGGAACGTTAATATCCGAACAGAAATAAAAACATTTGTGAAGGGTTTTTTTGCTGCATTGCCTTTGACGCTGGATAAAGGAGGACGTGCTGTGGTATGTTACGGACTTTTGAACTGGAACAGCTAACACTCTGCACTTGGCTAGCTGCATTTACCGCCTTTGCAGCAATTTTGTCTTCAGGAGCGCTTTTGTGGTAAGTTTTATTTTTTCTGAAACTATAGTTCTCCGTTGTAATATGGGTCAATATATCATCATAAATGTACAACTCTAGCAGGCATTTAAGAATTACATGCATGAGTCGTTTTATCCATGTCGCCTTGGCCCCAAAGTGTTTTGCATGAATTATGCTAATAAGCTCACATTTAGTATAACACATTATTAGTCCCAGCAGAGGCTGCTTCACACTTAGCGCATACATGGATATTGACTTTGGCTAATCCATTTGCTAACTGGTGGAACTTGAAACTTACATTTAGTTCTCTGGAGTTGTAAATATTAAAACTGGGGCAGCAAAATTGTAGGCACAGGACATACTTACAAAAGCAGTCATTAATCATTACATAATTGGGCGGTAGAACTTGGTTTACATTGCAAATAGTTATGTATACTAAGTTTAAATGTAGAAGATTCTGAACTGTAAAATTGTTGTGCCTGGTCTATTTTAGGTTAGATTAAGGGTGAATCCATCAATAATATATTTACCAAACAGTTATTTTTTCGTTTTATTTTATTCTGATGCCCAGTGTTCATTAGTGAAAGACTTTGTTTTTTTTTCTGTCAGGGGCTGGGTCTGTGACCCAGCATTTTGAGTTTATTTTGTATTTTTGCTTTCTTATGTTATATTGAAATGAGGTGAAGTTCTTGTATTGTTGTTATTATTAGTTAAGGTTTAGTTGAGTTGTGGGCTAGTTATGTTTCATCTGTGTCTCCTTGGTTATGTATCTTTTCTATTCTCTGTGTAGTCTGTCTTGTCTTCTGTGTTTTACTGTTATGTCCATGCGAGGGCAGAAGTAAATTTTCAGGGGTGAAGATGCTGTTCACCTTGACCATCTAAGACTGCAGATTGTAGATGAAGTCGAGAAAAGTGAAAAGAATCCTGTCCTGATTACAAAGCTGATGCACACAACTTTGGCCTTGCGATGCAAAGAGATCAGTAGGTCAGATCCTAGATCGCTGGCATACTCTGAAATCCCAGTCCCAGGTAAGAATGTACAGTGGCTTGCAAAAGTATTCGGCCCCCTTGAACTTTTCCATATTTTGTCACATTACAGCCACAAACATGAATCAATTTCATTGGAATTCCACGTGATAGACCAACACAAAGTGGTGTACACGTGAGAAGTGGAACGAAAATCATACATGATTCCAAACATTTTTTACAAATAAATAACTGAAAAGTGGGGTTTGTGTAATTATTCAGCCCCCTGAGTCAATACTTTGTAGAACCACTTTTTGCTGCAATTCACAGAATTTTGCAATTCACATGTTTGTGGCTGTAATGTGACAAAATGTGGAAAAGTTCAAGGGGGCCGAATACTTTTGCAAGCCACTGTATATAGATGTATCTAATGTATCTAAGATGTATTTTATATCAACTTCTGTTATCTGGCCTGTCTGAACAAATTATGCCTTTGGAGTGTAAGGATTTTGATGTATTTTGCAAAGATTTAAAGACTAATTGAAACTTGTAAACACAAATTTATCCTGTGTTCAGATCTGTGCAGAATTGCACAGGATTACAAACCTCTACCTGAAGAACCACTTTTATGCTGTGTTGGACCAACATGCTCCCCGGCTCCAGAACTTATTCAGAAAGAAAGCTGTTTGCACAGGGAACGTGTCTGATGTCCTGTCTCAGCTCTTCAGAAGCTATAATCTCCAGGTTAGTGGGTTTTTGTCTTGTTTTTTGAGCTTTATTTAATTTGATAAATTTTTCAATTTTAACTACCATTCTTGACTAGGTTAGCCAATAATTTAAAATAAAAATTTTCTTGTGAACAAGCTGATATCCATGCCCAACGTGCTGGTGTGCTTCATGCCCTCCCTGTCTGTACGAAGACACCTCTACCTTCATCAAAACGTGGGATGTAAGTTTTGGACAAAGTTGTGAACAATATCTTAGTAGCATCCTTGTTTAGATTTCACAAAACATAATGCCACTTTGACAGTGTGAGAAGCATCTCCATGCTTGGGATCTGTCTACAACAGTGTCCATGTCACATAATGGAAACACTACATGTTTTTAATATGTGTAGACCTTCTATAATGTTCCTATACCAACCATACATCACTATACAAATGAAAAAAATATGTAACTCCTATTGACTTTCTGTTGTTATTGCTACGAAGAGGTATGACTTTGCTTTACTAAAAGTACTATTTTTGTCAGTTTTTTTTCTCAAATCTTTGGTGTGTTGTGGCTTTTTTGTTGTTCAAACAATTGATTTCTGAGCTAGTAATAATTGAGAAATGTGACTTGTATAGATGAAACTAAGAGAAATAGGAATGCACTAACATGTAGTAATTTTGTTTTCTGTAGATGATGCATTCTGATAGACCAGGTATTAGTGAAGTGCCACTTGGACTCCTCCTCATCAGAGCCAATTCCAACGATGCAACATTCTTCTGCCCTGAGAAGACTGCAGTTTTGGTCGAGGGTAACATGATCATTGTTTTCACCACCCTGGCTGATGCATTTCTAGTAATATTTGGACTGACCTACGGCCTGCACCTAAGCTACCCAAAATGTTTGGCCAACATTTTTGACTTTATTCAGAACGTTTTGATGGGTCTGGAGGGTGGGAAGTTGAAGCCCAAAGTGCTGAGTCTTAAAAATGATCTTTTGGCAGCAGAATAATGTCCAGGATTCCTACACAGCCCTCAAGTGCCTGTTAAAGCAAGTAATTCAGTTTATCATGTTTCCAAGTCTGGATAAGTTTTTTTTAAAAAAAGAGAATAGAATAAAGAAATCTTTGCAGACTCTGTTTCATACTTCATTATCTTAAATCCACATCCAAAGTAAAAGGGGTGATTTTCCCCCCATCATCACTTGTGTTTTAGTTGATTTTGATTGTGTTTTCAGTCAGATAACTGTAAATCCATACAGAAAATGAAGGACAATCTCACTACATTTCTGGCTTCTAGGTGGGATCTTGAATGTCACTTAAGGAACGTTCCTCCTGAACTGCTCATAACTGACATAAGGCGCTAAGGAGGTTTATAACACTTTGTTTTATGTTTCTAAAGAAGTTAGAAACATAAATAGAAGTATATATAGAAGTTTGTTTCTATTTAAAGTTTTATTGCTCTGTTGTCGAGACTGTGATTGCAGTCTACAAATGTGCATTTTGCATAACCACAGTATTGGCATATTAAAAAGGTTACCAATTATATTTCAGTGTATTAGCTGCACTATACGGTAATTTACTTTCATTCGGTTTTCCCACCTAATAATGCAGGTTTTCCTTTTGTTTGTTTTTTAATAAAAAGGCCATACTCATGTGTTAATCAAATCTGAATACTCTTAAAACATGTTGTGAAATTCTTTTTTTCTAATATTGTAACCTTGTGCCAAAACTGGACATTTCTGACATTATTCCCTGTAAAATGTGGTGGATTTAGGTCTTTGGGCTTTTCGTCAGAAAAGCTATGTGCTAAAGTAATTCAATAAATTTCTAACTTGAATTTATATTTTCTGTCTTATGTTTTTACAAGTGTAATTATTTTGGGCACTTTTTTTTTATATCAAATTCAAAACACAGTAGATTTGGATATTACAAGAGTTTGTATTTTAATTTTTTGAGTTGTATTAGCTTAAAATGGTTAACATTTTTAAACTAAATATTATCCTAAATATATATCCTAAAAGTTACTTGAGCTAGATTTGTACTTGAAACTCAAAATATCAAGTAGAAAGTACTAAACCAAAAATGTGAATATAACATAAAAACATTATCAATGGTACTTAAAATATTTATCTAAAGGTAATAAATAAAGTGTGTTTATTTAACGTTTATTTTTAAGTTTTAGTTACTTAAATTCTTTTATGTAATCAGTTTCACCAAAGGTTTTGAGTTAAATTAACTTACTGGGTTTTACAGTGTGTTAAACACACATTTTTTTCTCAGCTCAGCAGCAGTATCCATATAAAATACATAATTATGCTACACAAACAGCATTTCAGTAATTCCTTGAGGACAAATTACTTTTTGAAAAACTCTGTTATATTCAGAGCAAGTGGAATAAACTGCCTTATGCAAAATTATTGATATTTGCATGCTGAAATTTTTACATTTACCTTACTGTGGATGTAAGAACCAAATTTTGTGGATATTTTGCATCTTTATTACAATCATCTTTATTGTGTAATGTTTTATTCTATTATACTTGATGGCTTGGGCCCCAGGAAGATTAGCAACCACTATTGTGGAAGCTGATTGTGTTCATTATGAATACATATAAAATTCTTATCATAAAACTGACCTTTTCTGTGCAAAAGAGGGCAACGGCGTAGCCGGTGTTCCACTCAACATCCTGAGTCTGTACCTCAAGTGCTTTACGAAAACAGTCGATGGCTTTTGATATAGAAGACCTCGACACCTTAAAATAGGCCCAGCCTTGTTCCCCATACACCTCTGGGAGGAAACGTCCTGATGAACCAGTGGGATACTTCACCTGCAGAGGGAGAAGGAAGCACCAGAGGATCAACATTGATCAATAATAAACATAATGTAAAGGGAATATGGGATTTTCTAAATAGTATCATTAAAATTAATTGTGGACAACAAAGTTATCCTCAATATTTTATTGACAATGGCAATATAATGGAAAACACTGTTGTTGTGCTCAA